TATTTATTTTTGGGACAGAGAGAGACAGAGCATGAACGGGGGAGGGGCAGAGAGAGAGGGAGACACAGAATCGGAAACAGGCTCCAGGCTCTGAGCCATCAGCCCAGAGCCCGACGCGGGGCTCGAACTCACGGACCACGAGATTGTGACCTGGCTGAAGTCGGACGCTTAACCGACTGCGCCACCCAGGCGCCCCACGGATGCGGTTTTGATGCAGAGTCAGATGTGGGGTCAGGGGAGGGGTCAGCACTTCCCGACAGTCCACACCTGGCTCGGCCAGTGCCCCAGAGGGTGGCTGAATGTCCTGCTGGAGGGCCCTGAATCCTACAGAGCCCTGGTCTCAGGCCGCCCTTCTCCCTGCCCTGGGAGCCTGCCTCCTACAGCTGTAGGCCCGGTACCACGTCTGTGCTCTGACAGTGGGACCAGCCCAGCAGATCCTGGGACAGTGGGGCTGGTCTCAGAGGGGGGAGCAGAAAGGGCAGTCCCCTGGGCCAGCCCTTCTGCCTGACAGCCCCCACCCCCCTGGCCTAGGTGGGGAAGCCCCTCTCTCCACTGCACATACAGACCAACCCACACAGATGCTTTTCCAAACCCGGGGTAACCGGCTGCCTGCCCCGTGCCTGCGCTGCGGGAAAGTCAGGGGGCCTGACCCACATCCTTCATCACACGGGTGGGCGGGGGGAGATAAAGGGCAGGAGCGTGTTGGTGGAACGGCTGCTTCTCTGGATCCCCTTGCTCAGTCTGGACCGTGAACTGGCAGGGTACAGGCAGCCCTTGTTCGAAAGGAGGTGGGCCCTCACCGTCCCCTCTGCCGCCTGGCTGAACACGACGAGCCCGGAGGCCACCACGTCCCCGGCCTCCGAGGGTCTCTGAGCACCCCCTTCTCTGTGCACTGTCCAGCCTCTTTCCCGCTGCCGGGCTCTGACCCCTGGCCGCGAGGAGGAGGCCACCTCCCTGTTGGTTATCGCATCGTGCTGGTGAAGTCTCCCTGTTCATCCCTCCCTCCTCTGCAGGACCCCGGGTGCCAGGAGGGGCCGCTCACTTCAAGCCGTCCAGGTCCGGTGCCCCAAGAGGAGCGGGTCTGGAGGGCAGGCCCCGGGGGAGGCCCGGCCTCCTCCCTCCCCTTGGGAATCAGCTGCCTGAAGTGCCTGACCTTCCTGCTCAACTTCCTCTTCTCTCTGCTTGGTCTGCTGGCCCTGGCCATCGGGCTCTGGGGCTTGGCCGTCAAGGGGTCTCTGGGGAGCGTCTGGGGGGCGGCCCTGCCCGAAGACCCCATTCTGGGACTGGTACTGGGGGGGCTGGCCGTCAGTGCGGTGAGCCTGGCGGGCTGCCTGGGGGCCCTGTGTGAGAGCGCGTTTCTGCTCCGCTGCTTCTCGGGGGGTCTCGTCGCCTTCCTGCTGCTGGAGGCCGTGGTGGGTGCCCTGCTGGTGGCCCTCTGGGGCCCACTGCAGGATGGCCTGGAGCACACCCTGCGTGCGGCCATCACCCACTATCAGGATGACCCGGGCCTGCGCTTCCTTATTGACCAAATCCAGCTTGGGCTGCAGTGCTGCGGGGCGTCTTCCTACCGGGACTGGACGCGGAACCTGTGAGTCCCAGGCCCAAGGGGGAGGGACGGTCCCCAGCGGCCAGCAGACCGGGCCGCGCACTCGCTCGCGTGGGCACACTCACTCATGCACGTGCTCACGTGGACACACTTGCATGTATGCACACACACGTGCACGTACACACTCTTGGGCCCGTGTTTCTGCTCCCTCTCGTGGACCAGGACCAGGTGGACCGAGATCGAGCCAGCAGAGTCAGAAAGTCACTTTTGGGGGTGTTTTTGTGAAGGTCATCGTACAGGACATCTCAGTGTCAAATGAAAATGACTTTTAGGTTACTTGGGGACACGGCTCTGGACTCCACGGCTCTCCCTCAACAGCGTGTGCACGCCGGTGTCCGTGTGCGAGCATGCGTCTGTGTGTGCATGGATTTAGGAACACGGTGTAGTGTATTTTTTACGCTGTGCCTGAGGACAACCGGCCATGAGAGACAGAGCCATACAGAGGCTTGAAAAACAGCCATCTGTATCCAACGGTCACTCAAACATGCCGGGCATTCCAGAAGCATCCATGTGGGTGTTCTCACTCGCGGGCTGTGTCTGACTTTGGATTGGTGGCGGGCCCCTGTGGGGTCACGTTGCCACCTATCCTGCCGGCTTTCGAGTCCTTGTCTTGGTGAGGCCCACTCTTCCGGGAGCTGAGAGCAGGCCTGTGAGGGAGGGCAAGGGGGGTGACCTGGAGGCACAGGACCCTGGACCCCAGTCAGAGGCCGGGGACACTGGGCTGCTGCCCGGAGGCGGGGGCCGTGAGGAGAGCAGCTTCCTCCCGCCTGGCGAGCTCCTCCCAAGTGCTGCCCCTCACTCCCCGTTGTGACCCCCCGCAGGCTTCCGCCCACCTGCCCCCTCCAGTCCTGCCTGTTCAGACCAACTCAGCAGCCCCCACCGAGCGAGGTGGTCTTCATTCCCCCCCTCACGAGCTTGTCTCCCCTTGAACCCTGTCACCAAATACGTCCCTTCTAGCCGAGATTTTACAGGTGCCTGCATGTGCGCAGGGCTACTGGATGCTGGGATAAGCTCCGGAAACCTGGGTACTGTGTGTGCACAAGTATGTGTGCGGGCGTGCACGCATCTGTGTGTCTGCGTGTGCCCTCCAGACTGACGCCCAGGTGTGCCCGCCCTTACAGGTACTTTAACTGCAGCTCCCCGGGGGTCCAGGCCTGCAGCCTTCCTGCCTCCTGCTGCGTCCACCCCAGGGAAGACGGAGCCTCTGTCAACGACCAGTGTGGCTCTGGAGCCCTGCGCCTGGACGAGGATGCCGCTCGGAGAGTGGTGCACCTGGAGGGCTGTGGCCCTCCTCTCCGGCGTTGGCTGCGCAGGAACGTGCGGGCCGCGGGCGCCTACGCCATCGTGGTTGTGGCGGTCCAAGGGGTGGAGCTCCTGTTGGCCAGCCAGCTGGTGAGGGCCCTGGCCGTCCGCCGGGGGGAGGTGGACAGCCCCAGAGCCGCAGGGACGGTGGACAAGGCCACCCACGCCTCACACTCCGTGAAACGGCCCCTGCCAAACTGGCCCAGCGCTGACAGCCCAGGAGGACCCCCAGGGAAGGTGTCCTACGGCATCCCAGACGCCCTGGCCTCCTCCACCGGCTGTGCCTCCGGCCCCCCAGGGCCCCCCTTCCCCTGAGGGCAGAGCACGTCCGCCTCCTTCCCGGTTCCATCAGGCCCTGCTAGAATGAGTCCCTGTGCCACCCCCTGATTTCACGATCTTTTGGGGACTTTTGTTCTCCACCACTGAGTCGGGCACTGCCTGCTCCCTGGCAAACGCCGCTGTGACCTGAGCGTAAGCTGAGCCTGGTGGGTGCTGCTGGCCGCTGTCTGCCTCCTCTGGGGACGCCAGGCAGAGCCACCCAGCGGGCAGGGAGCGTGTGGGGTATGGAGACCGGAAGAAATCCTGCTGCCAAGCCCCCAACTCCAACCTCCACCTCCGACCGCCTCTGATGCCTACCTCCAAACCCTGCCCCTGACCTCCACTCTGACCCCGCCTCTGACACTTTGCCTAGGATGTCACCTGTGACCCCCAGTCTTGATCCCAGCCCTGATGCCTCACTCTCTCACCACGGCCTGGGTACCTGCCCTCCTCTGGGGTCACCTCGCCCTTTCCCACCATTGTGGTGGTTGAGGTGGGGCCCAGGCGGGAGTAAACTTGAGCGAGAGGCAGCATCCACACAATAAACAGCGCCGGTGTTAAGCGGGCAGCGTGAGGAACCCTTACCTAGCTAAGCACCTGCAGATCGGCTGCCAGGTCAGGAGCCGGCCTCTGCCAACTCCTCACTGCGGGCACCCCGATCGCACTTCATCACCATCGGTGACCCTCTCACATTAACGGGACCCCAGAGGGCCCTTCCCAAGAGTCACGTCTGCACTGTGCTGTGTGCAGACGCCCACAAACACACCTGGCCCGTGTGGACGCACACTTGGGTGGCTTCCGGATGGTGACTGCTGCTGGGGACAGTTCCACACAGGTGTGTGTGTGTGTGTGTGTGTGTGCGCGCAGGTGCGCCTGCTTCCCCCGGGTGTGGTATCGGGCGGAGCTGCTGGGTCACGGGCGGGCGCCCATCCAGCTTTCGTGGACCACCGAGGACAGGCTAGCTGGGCCACTGAGCAAACTCCACAATCTCTGCGCCTGTTTCCTCACCTGTGGGGCAGGGCTAAGCGTCCCTCCTCCCGGCAGGAGCTGCGGGTGGGCTCCGGCAGCCGGGTGTGTGCGCCTTACCCCCCAGCGTGTCTGGCCTCGCCGGGCGTACCTCCAGCCACCACAGGCCCAGGCTCAGCGCCTCGTGGGCGTCCCTCCCCCTCAGCCCGGCCAGGCCCCTGCGGCCCCCGACACCCTGCACCTGTACCCGTGCACTCCGGCTGGAGACCCACACCTTTGGGCCCCGCCCGCACCACGGCACACTCTAGACGAGCGAGGGGAGGCATGCTGACTTTATTTTGCAACACGGACAGCAAGCATGGGCCGTGGCGGGGAGGTCAGGTTTCCTGCTGGCGTGATGGGTTTGGAGGGGTGCCGCGCTCTTGCTGATGCCACCGGGACGCCGCCCCCCGCCCCTCCCCCGCCACCAACCCAAGGGCACCAGCTGGGAAGGACTGGCGAGGGGGGCTTGTCCTCACCACCAGATAGCAGGACGGGAGCAGGGGGTGAGGGACATTTCTGGGAGCCCTGCCCTGGCTTTCCAGCCCTAAAAGAAGATCTGCAGGTCCTCTGGAAGTTAAGCAGGGCCTGACCGGGCCCGAGATGTCCTGCAGGGAGACGGGGGGGCTTCTGGTAACTAGCATCTAGGGTCCCAAGGTTGTCACCTTGCAAGGGTCTCCAAACACAAACTGGACAATCCGGACACCCTCGGGGGGATGGGCTTCCTCACAGGAATCCTGACCAGGGGTCGGAGCGGGCAGCGGGGGGTAGGGCCCTGGGACTCCGGGTCAGGCTCTCGCGCTAGATGATGCCGTACTGGGCCAGTTCGTGCAGCTCCAGGTGGTTGAAGGCCTCCCATGGGCAGATGACCGTAATATCTGCAGGAGAAGGGACAGTGGGACCAGGAGGGTCATGGCCCCAGGGGCCACCATCCCCTCAGGGGGTGAGAGGAGTCCTGGGTGCGGAGCCCTCCCCGCTGGGGCACACCAGCCGGAACGGGCCGGGTGGAAGACGGTGGGTGCAGTAGGCCAGGTGGAGGGAGGGACGGCAAGAGCTCCCCATGGCTTTCCAGCCCCTCCAAGTCCACAGCGAACCCACCGAGCGGGAGGTCTAAAGCTCGATATCGGGGCAGAGAATGAGGGACGGGCTTGGGGCGGCGCCCTAGGTGAGCTTCTGCCAGAGGAAGGAGAGGAAGGGTGGGGCGGCAGGCAAGCCCACAGGTGGGGGAGTGGGGGGGACCTGGGAAGACCCTCGAGGACCTCATACCTGTTCCCAGGCCTTCCATTCCAGGGATGTCATCCCCAAACCTATAGGACAGAGTGGTCAGGGCCAGCGGCCAGGAAAAGAGGAGTGGGGGTGTGTGGGGGGGTGTTCATGCACTTGACCGCAGACCCCTGAGTTGCCCAGCGTGCCCTGGCTGTGAGTGTGTGTGCAGGGACACACGTCGGTGGTTGGCCTGTGGCTGAATCCCTCGGTGGCAGTGAGAACAGTCTCCAGACCCATTTGGCAGTAACAGGTAGAGGGGGACAGGAGCCCCGGAGCCCTCCCGCACCCCCATGCTGAGGGGGACCCTCAGGCCCTCCAGAACCACCCCACCCTGTTAGGACGATGGGACCACCCTCAGCCAGGACAGGACAGCTGAGCTCCCACTCAAAGTGTAGCCCCGCCTCCTTCCTGTGTAGCCTGGGGCTGGGCCCCTCCCCAAGCCTTGCTTACCCTTGGACGCCTTTCTTGGGGGGTTTGCTCTTGAACTGCCTGGTTTGCCGCTGCTTAAATTTGGGGGGCCCTTTCCTGGGAGTGACAGGCCCCCCAATCACCCTGGTGGCCGACCGGATCTCGGCCTTGGGTGGCTCCAGGTTCATGGCCAGGATGGCGGAGACCTCTGGCTTCTAGACTTCCTCACGCTGTGGGCTGGGGGCACACCAGGCTGGTGGGGGGAGGGGATCCCAGTCAGCCCCCTTGCAGGTCTCAACCCAGAAGAACAGAGGAAATCCTGAAACACGAGATCCTGGGCATGACCCCGACAACAGCCCCCTCTCATCTCCAGGTGGGGCTCCAGCTGGGGTCAGGCAGAGGGGATGAGAGTCCTGGGTGGCCCTGCAGGTGCACCCCCCTCGGATGGGTGGGGACACTCTGTCTCATTCCCGGTGGCATGCCAGGCAGCTAGTAGTGTCAATGAAGAATGACTGAGAAAGGGAGGCAGCGGGCTGGCCAGGGAGGGGCGTGTCTCGGAACAAGTCCAGAGCTCAGCTGTGCAACCCTCCCCTCCACCCCAGCAGCTTCCTCTCTCAACTAGTAGACTCTTTCACCCCCCACCCCACCCCTGGCCACTCGCTGTGCTGAGGGACTGCTCCGGGCACCAGTGCCACCTGCTGGTGTCCCTGAACCCACTGCATAGGGTGAACTCCCCTCTGCCCCTCCCGCAGAACCTCTCCCTGGATGCCCTAAGCCCCCTGACCCTGCTCAAGGGCGACTCAGCTTCCCCTAAGCCTATTAGCTCCAGAGGGAGACCCTAATCCCTCAGGGCCACTGTGAGCCTGGAAGGTTCTGGGGCTAAGCCCATGACACAGACAGGAGCCCCTGGCACTGGATACCCCAGGCACCGCCTCTTGGGACCCATCCCTGGTATTGTGGGCTGCAGTGCCTGAATCCAGCCTTGGGCCACTGCCAGCTGCCTGCTAGAGCACCAGGGCTGAGACTGGCAGGCGAGGACAGGTGGGCCCACCCCGAGGAAGGCTGGGTGGTGGGTGTGGGCACCCGGTACCAGGGGGACCCCACCATGGACCTTCTCTCCCTAAGATTCCGCCTCCATGCCGAGAGGACGTGCACGGGGTCCAAGGTGCATGGCAGCGGGTCTGGTGGTCCTGGCTGCTCAGACCCTGTGATGCCCACTCCTCACAGCCTAGACGGTGCAGGCTCAGCCAGACCCTTCCCCAGTCCCAGGCCGTGGGCCTGGTGTGCGCAGCTCTGGCCCAGACCGAACTCCTACTCTCAGATGCTGGCCTCACGGAAACCGCCGTCTAAGCTCTCCCAGCTGCCCCGGCCCCAGCCCAGCCTGTGGCTGATGCCCACTCAAGTTGGCTGGGAGTGTGTGGCCCAAGGTCCCCGGACCATTGCTGGCCTTGGGGGCTGCCTGCAGCCACTGTTTGATATGGGGGAGCTGAAAACGATTGGCTGGGCAACCTCTCTGAATAGGACAGCAGGCAGACCCCCACAGACCCAGTCCTCAGTGCGGTGGCAAAAAGCCCGCCAGCTCCCCATCCTCGGGGCAGATCCCCACCAACACCCTTGGGTAAGTGGCCACCAAGAAAGGCAACCAGGAAGGTCACTACTCACCACGCACTGGGCAGGTCTCAGGGGGCCACGGGTGTGAGTGACCAGGTCTCCTTCAGCAGGGTGCGGCTGGAAATTTATCCTGCCTCTGGCTAAACCGATTAGGATCGTCCCCTGACGCTACACTAATGAGATCATCAGGGCCATTCGGAAGGGCAGAGGGAGGGCGCCACCTCCGAGGATTCAGGGAGAGGAGGGAAGGGGCTCGGGTGTGGTCTGGGGTCCAAGGGATGAGCCAGGGATGTGGTCGGGACAAGGGATACGGTGTGCGATCACAAACAGCTGGGGACGGACAAGACCCTCTCCTGAAGCTGCTCATCTCTGAAGCGAAGAAGAAACTGGCTGCTGTCCTGGGTCTCCCCCGCTTTCCATCCTCCGAGTTGTAAAGAATCTGCCTTCACGGCCCCCAAGTCCCGCATAGTGTGGCCACTATCCACTTCTCTGATTTCATCTGTATCCCTCCCCCTCGCTCTCCGCCTTTGCACCGGCTGCCCCCTCCGGTGGGTGTATTCTGCACCTGTCCTCATTCCCCTAGCTCCCTCTTCAGAGCTCCGCACCAGGATCCCTTCCTTAGGGCGACCCCTCAGGCTAGACCAGGATACGTATTTCACAGGTCCTCATGGCAACCGGAACTTTCCTTCATCACTCTTACATAGTCGTTCGTTGGAGCAATGCTTGTGTTAACCTCCGTCTTGCACGTTACAGTGGAGTGGGGCAGACATTTCTATTGGACCCCGGCGGCTAGCCCAGTGCCAGAACGTCACAGATGGTGAAGTACCTGGGAAACAAACAGATGCACAAGGACGAGACCCACACCCGCATGCGTCTCAGCAAGCCTGGTGTTATGCTGCCCTGGCAAGACTGCCACGTTCCACGTGCAGGAGGGGCCTGCCTCGCTGCCAGGGACAACACCAGTGGCTTCTTGATGGGGACAGCTCACATCACACAGGCCTCTGCTAGGACTGTTGAGCTCTGAAGCGAGGCCAACTGAGTAGCATGCACTCGAGGTATACGTACATGCATACACGGGTACGTATACAAAACCTCTATAAATCTGATTTTTTTTTAAGTCTATTTTGAGAGTGGGGGAGAGGCAGAGAGAGAGGGAGAGAGTCCCAAGCAGACTCTGCACTGTCAGCACTGATGCTGACGTGGGGTTTGATCTCACAAGCCATGAGACTATAACCAAAGCTGAGCCAAAACGAAGCTTCGGTTGCTTAACTGAGCCACCAGGCACCCCATAAACCTGAATTGTTGAGAAAAATACAGAAAACTTCTATGTCTCTGAGATAAGCTACCCCTTCAGGGAGGCCCAGAGCCCACCAAGCTTTGCTGTGCTGCTGTCTCGGGAAAATCTTTCTCTTCCTGGGCCGTTTTTCAATCTGTGTGAGGATGCGGTTAAATTAGATGCTCTGAGATATAGTCCAATAAATGTGTCACCATAAATCAGGTTTCTCTGAACCAATCAAAACCCTGTTTCTGGAGGGCACTCAGCTGTTCGGAAAGACAGCCTAAGCCACAGGGGTCTCACTAGGCTCACATTTTCTCCCACTCCCTGGCCCACACATCTGCCATGTGATACGCTAGCTTTACATTAAAGCCCCTACTTGGGAAGACCTATCAGCTCAAACCTCTCACGAAATTCTAGTACAATCTTAGCTTTTTCTTTAAATGAGAAGAGATAAAACAGGCATAAATTCCTTTAATCCCTGCCTCGCCCAGGCTGCTCGTATCAGCGCTTGGAAATGCTGGGGGAGGGAGAGAAGGTGGGACAATTTCCATGCTGGCGGTGAGCAGGAGAGGTGGGCAGTGAGGACCCTAAGACAAAGTCCTACCTGGGCTGGATGGTCCAGCAGCCAGGTCTGCAGCCGACCAGGCTGGTTTCCTGGAGGCTGATTCTAGGGCTGATGCCCTGGCCAATCGCCCCGATCCTCGGAGCTAAGTGGGTTGGAAGGACTGAAGGCTCGGGCCCCGGCGGTGTATCTACCGCCTCCCCCCTGGCTGAATGGGTATCTCCCCAAGGATCCCTGCAGCTGGAACAAAGGGGCCCTTCCCAGGCTGCCCGCGGGCGTTCATGCCTGCTACAGGCCTTGCCAACAGCAGCTTCGAGGGACCAGATGGCTCTCCCTCTGCTGCAGCACTGAGAATAACCAGAGCTGACCTCGGGGCAGGACTTCTGGGACGCTGGGAGGCAGAAGGGGGTTCCTGGGGTCGTCGTCACATAATTATTCAAAAGAATGGAGCTTACGTTACCCTTACAGGTTGGTAAAGCTGTAGGCCCTCAACAAATGTTCGATCGCAACCTGTACCGTCTTTCTGTGACAACGCAACGTCAGTCCTGCACACGACAACACGGAAGCCTCCGGTCTGAGCACCACAGAGAACTTATTTATTCCCAGATGAGGTCAATAAATAATTCTTCCTACTCCTGTCTGACACCAGCCTCGTGAAGGGCTGTGAATGAAGCTCCGTGTTGCTTCCCGAGGAGGAAGGAGCTGCCAGGCCGGGGCCTGTCTGGGTGCGGGTGTGGGCAAGCCGGCTCAGCCTCCACTCCTCGCTCGGAGCTGGATCTCCATCCTGAGGAAGGCCTTGAGGTTCTCGTCAGCCACGTGTTCCTCCAGGGCGGCCAGGGCCCGCTCCCCGCCATCCTGGTAGTGCTGCAGCAGCGCGTCCGCATACTCCACCCACACGCACTTGGGGCAGCCACTCATGCAGCAATTTGTGGGGGGTTCGAGCCCGGGGGGCAGGGGAAATGGGGGTTCCAAGGGGCCCCTGCCAGGCAAGGAGGACTTGTGCTGCCTGGTGCCCTCTGCACTGGACTGAGAGCCCACCTCCACGTGGTCCTTCCCGAACTCTCCGTGGCCTTCCCGGGCTTGGACCCAGGCACAGTGCTGGTAAAGAGTGCTGCTGCCTCCAGGAAGCCTTCGGCACCGGCACCAGCCCCAGCTGGAGAGTCGCCGTGGCCCCTAAGGAGACAGAGGCTGGTAAGGCCTTGCCTGCCCCCGGCTCCAGGGGAATTTCGGCCCCTGTCATTGGCAGGGGGCCCCAGGTGCTTCTCCACTCCCTCATCTCCCATGAGACCTTACACAAGTTACTTCACCTCTAGACTCAGTTTTCCCTCTGTAAAGTGGACATAAGCGCTGCTATAACACACAACTCATGAGAAATGCTGGCTTCGGGTACAGGCACTGGGTGCGCCCTCCAGCAGATGGTGGTGTGGGGGGTACCTTGGCACCTCCAGCTAAGAACGCTCTGCTCCTTTGGCAGAATGGGGGCGGGGCGGGAGCCTGTGAGCTCCGGCCACACAGCTGCTTCTCCCTCTCCAACCAGCGCAGCCGCGTCCCTGTCCTACCAGCCTGATTGCGGACACCGCCCCTTCATCCCTGTTTTTCCCCAGGTCATCCCCCAAAGGCTCCGAGGGCAGCCCTCCCGCTTCCTATCCGTTCTCCGGTCCCAGCCCCGGCCCCAGGGTCCCCTCCCCTCTCCACTGTGTCTGGGGCCCTCAGCACTGACAGACGCGGCCCTGACTCTATCCATTTCCCTAACTCTTGCGAGGAGCATCAGCTCCTTGTTCACCGCAGCCTCCCCAAAGGGCTCGCACACAGAGGGCGCGCAAGGGACACTGCTGAGCGGGTGGGTCCAGCGCAGGGCGGTCCTTCCCGTGGAGCCAGGGCAGGCAGCCACGGTCCCCTGCAGGCGGGGAAGGCAGGACGTCTCCAGTCCCTGCCGGTCCCGGCCTCCCGAACGCGCCCAGCCCCGGCCCCCGACCCGCTGGTACTTGCCGGACACCGGGCAGCGGCGGCCACCGCCCGGCCTCCCCGGGCCAAGCTCCGGAGCAGCATCACATACGGCCCAACCCACGCACACGCGCGCCTCACCCCGCCCACCGAGGCGTGAGGGGCGGCCATTCTGGCCAATCCTGGCCCGCCAGGAAGCGGCACCGCCCCAATGGGCGCGGGGCTGAGCGCAGGAAGCGGAAGTGGCGGTCGTGGGGCGGGACTGTGCGGAAGGGCGGAAGTGGCTTTTTCCTGGAGCGCCCGGCGTGCAGATGGCGGGAGCCGGGCGTAGAGGGGCTACTACGGTGGGGACGGCAGGGCCTGGGGGCCCGGGGCGGCCGCAGGGGAGAAAGCAGCAGCTGCCGGGGAAGCAGCGCTCGGCGCCGTGGCCCGGACCGCGCAGGTGGGTCTCTACCCGGCCCCCGCTGTGTCCGTGCCATGGGCGCGACGGGGGACCGGCCAGGTGAGGGAAGGCGTGAGGGTCTCCAGCGTGGAGGCACTAGCCACCGTCCGGGGTGCCGTGTTTGCCATCCTAGTGGAGGTCAGGGACGAGTCCTCCTGGGGCTGTGGGAGCGGCCCTCCACCCCAGCGTCCTGCGAGAACGCAGCGCAGGGACAGTCTGCGGTGAGGATGCCTCCTTGCCTGGCACGCACCCCAGCAGCCAGGTGGCCTGCGAAATTCCCGTCCCAGGCCCGGCTTCAGTTTTCTCTGATTCTGCTTATGCCGAGCTTAAGTCTCGTCTCACCCTCCTGTTCTCCCTCCCAGCAAAGAAAAAAAGAAAGTAAATTGCAAGCCCCAAAACCAGGACGAACAGGAAATCCCTTTCCGGCTCCGAGAGATTATGAGGAGCCGCCAGGAGATGAAAAATCCCATCAGTAACAAAAAGAGAAAGAAAGAAGGTAACGTGCAGGCCCATGCTGGGTGGTAATAAAGCTTTGTGTGTTTGAATCCACTTGCCCTGTTTCAGGCAGAAGAAATCTGCCAGGACCCAGTGGTTTGAGGGTGCAGGAACATGTGGGGCACTAACCAAGGGCTGGTGTCACCAGGGCCAAAGAGGTGGCTGGCAGCAGGTGGTAGTGTGGTTTCAGATGAGGCTCCAGAACAACCCCAAGGGGCCTCCTGTGAGGATTGTGGATTCCCCTCCCAGAAGTAGTGGAGATCCATCAGAAGAGAGATCACTGTGTAACAACTGAGGGGGTGGACACGACAGGCCAGTGAAGCTCTTGCAAGTGAGAAATGGCAGTTTCTCGGATGGGAGTGTGGAAAGGATGATGCAGCGAAGTGGATGTTTTCCGGAGGTTAAGGAGAGAATTGGTCGGACCCCCCTGAGAAACTTACCTTTCCAACCCTCACCCAAGGCCAGGCTGGGCGCCCACCTGTCAGCCTCTGCCAGAAACAGCACTCAGGGCGTTTGAGGGGGATGGAGTCCAGCATGTTCTGTGTATGCAAATGTTTTCCCAAATGTGAGATTGATTTTACAGCAGTGCTGTTCTAGAATTTCTCTGTAAACCTCCTGCTTTTCATTGGGGTTACGTGACTGCCAAAGAGAACGTGAGAGAGGCACGGAAGGGGAGAACGGGAGGAGGCGCGCTGGCCCCAGTGGCAGATGGCACACTTTGAACTGTGCCTTCCTGAGCTGGCCCTCGTTTTCGGTTATTTAAGAGCTACACGCTCACGTACACAGTAAATCAAGCAGTTCTGCGAGGTATGAGGTACGGCATAGCCTGGCTCCCTGTCTCTGAATCCTGCTGTCATCCTTTGAGACAAAGCACCGTTCATCTTCTCAGATGCCTTCCCGAGACAGAGGGTCTGCCTATTTTCACGTGTTAATGGCGGTAAAGCTATGCCTTCATCCCGTGCTTTGCTTGCTGTCCTCGATTTGTGTGATAAAGTCTTCGCACGAACATAGGGTGCTCCCTCAAGCAGCCATGTTTTGATAGACATTTAGGTTATTTCCTGTTCTGTTTTTCAGCCGAGCCGTGGTGGACGTCTTTGACATGGAGCGGTGGGCCATGGGGATCCCATCCGCAAGGGTGCCCGAGCTGGGCATCATGAATCCTCTTTAGCTACTGTGGTTGGGCTGCTCCCACTGGGTCTGGTCTTCCTTCCCCGTGGCCTTGGGCAGAGGCACCAGCACGTGCAGCCAGCCTGGCACCGTCTCCCTCCTGCCCCTCACCCCACGCCCGCTTTGTCCTCAGCCCAGATGGCCTTCAGAAAGACATTGGAGAAGGAAGCGAAGGGAGTGGAGTCGGACATTGCTGTCCCCAAATTCAAGCAGAGGAAGTGGGAGTCTGACGGGGCCTACATCCAGCGTATGGAGCAGGAGGCCCAGCATGTGCTTTTTCTCAGCAAGAACCAGGTGGCCCGGCAGCCTGAGGTGCAGGTGGCTCCCAAGAAGGAGAAATCAGAGCGGAAGAAAGCGTGAGTGGGGGCGGGGTAGGGGCTGGGGTCCCACGACTGTCTCCTGCAGTGTCAGAATGGGGAGCGCAGAAAGAAGTGAAAAGCTGGTCAGTGGGTGAGTGTTCTCTCTACACCCGAGCCTCTTAACCTTGGGGTGCAGGGAGCCTCTAAACCCACGGAACTCTGAAGGCCTAGCTCTGTCTTTGCCTTTCTCTGGAAAAGCATCCAGGGGGCCCAAGAGCCAGATGAGGTCAAGGGCCAGCTGTCCTCCTGGCCAGTTGCAGTAGGGAGGTGGAGAAAAGACAAGGCCCCATGCTCTCTCGGGAGGGCTTGCTGAACACCAGGGGACCATGCCGCCTCTGCCGGAGATCGGTGCTACATGTGGGGTTCCCACGCAGCCCCGGGGTTCCCCTGCCTCTGGCTGGGAGATGCCACGTCATCTCTGAGCGCCTTCAGCTGTGCCATATGCACAAGTTCTGTGACCCCTCTCAGCTCCCGTGTCCTGTCCGCAAAGTAGGGACACCAGCATCTCCAGGGGGGTTCAGGCGGCATCTGGGGCCAGGGGGAGCCCGCTGCCAGGTGCTGCTCCCCTGCCTCCCAGCCCTGGAGTCTGGGAAGGAAGCCATGTGCCACCTCCCTGGGCTTGGGGGCCGGAGCTGGGAGGTGGTTTTGACAAACAAGGGCTTTTCGAGATGTTTCTGCCATAGCTGCGGCTTTTGAGTTGCGTCAGCCCGGGCTTCATCAGCAGTTCCCTCAGCACCTGTGAGTTGGGGATGGTCTGCAGCCTCGTGGGGCTTCCCCGTCTGAGCACTCTTTGTGCTTGTAGTCGGGTCAGGTGACCAGAAGCCCATCACAGGAAACCTGTCCCACGTACCGTCTGGAGCCGCAGCGATGCCCCGGACACAGGGCCGCTTTGTGAGACCCTTTAGACACAGTCGCACAGCTGACACTCGGGGCCGGTCATTCTCTGGGGTGGGGGCCGTTCTGTGTGGTGTAGGGTGTGGGAGCACCATCCCCGGCCTCCACCTGAGGTGCCAGGAGCGCTCCCACCCGCTGTGACAACCCAGAACATCTCTGGATGTTGTCATACGTACCCCGGGGCACCGTCGCCCCCACTGAGAACCACTGACTTGGAACTCTGGGCGCCTGCCGTTCGGAGCCCTCTCTGGCGCACAGCTGTGGGGACACGGTGGCAGCTCACTGGGGCCCACTCTAGAGCACCCTCCCGGGCAGGGTGATCTCCACCTTCGGAATCCAGAGAAATGAGAGTTTAGGAATCTGAACAGCATCGTGCTTTCTTCCCCAGGTTCCAGAAACGGCGACTGGATAGAGTCCGGCAGAGAAGGGAGGAAAAGGCAGCAGAAAGGCTGGAGCAGGAGCTGCTCCGAGGTGGCTCTTCCTGAAGCGACTGCGTTGGCCTCGGGCCCCGCTGTCTTCCCGGGGTCAGCAGAGGGGGGTCAGTGGATGGGGCCGCGGCTGTGTGGGCAGAGGCCTCACTTGTGCTCCTCTGCCCCTGCAGACACAGTGAAGTTTGGCGAGGTTGCCCTGCAGCCCCCAGAGCTGACCGCCCAGCCCAGGATGAGCAGGGGCGGGGGCCAGGTGAGCAGGGGCGGGGGGTGGCCCTGTGTGTCCCCCAGCGCTGCCGGGTCCACGGCCCGCAGACGGAATGCTGCGTTCTCAGCGGGCGTCCAGCTGTCGGACCAACGTGGGCCCTTCCTCATCTCCCTCCTTCCCGAACCTGTGCCTCAACTTCTATCTCTGTTCTTTAGCCTGGGAAGAAATCGCTGATGCTGAGGATGCTTCTGAGCCCTGGTGGTGTGTCCCAGCCTCTGACCGCGTCGCTGGCCCGACAGCGGATCGTCGGGGAGGAGAGAGAGCGGGCTGTGCAGGCCTACCGGGCACTAAAGACACGGCAGCGGCAGGCGGCTCAGTCCCCACGGCCACCCCGTTCACCCCACCCCACTTCCAGGAAGAAGGCAGAGACCTGTCTGTGACGGTGCGACCAGGGCCTCCACACCTGGGTCGGGGAGGACACGTAGATGGCCTGTACACAAGGGTCCTTTCCCTGGAGCACACTGGGACTCCCAGGCCCCCCGTACCAGCTCTCGAGTGTAGAACAGGGCTCCAGGTCTCTGCTCTCTCATTTTTTCCTCCCCGAAGAGGGCTCTTCTGTGACTGACCGTCTGCTGGGCCATCTCCCACAGGGCATTGTCCATCCCAAGTTCCCAGAGACAGACCAGCACCTGTTTGGGACACAGCCAGTCGGGCATCACGCACGGCTTTGTGCTGAACACACAGGTCCAGCCTGAGACAACCCACAGTCACTTCGGGGAGGGCCAGTCCCGTAATTCTGTCCTTAAATGCCGACTAACTGTAGACACTGCAGACTTGGCCAGCCGAGCTGATAACTGGGACCCCGTTGGGTTCAACAGCGCAGCACAGGTGGAAACACAGCCTAGGTGGGGGTGGGCCCAGCACCTCGGCCACCTGGACCCTCTCCTGGTGCCTCGTCCCTGATGCCACACCCCCATGTGGAGTGGGTTTGAGGAGGTCTGTTCCTGGCGTCCCCAAGGACTCGGGAGAGAAGAGCAGGTGTGAAGCAGCTTGACGGCAAGGACAGGACCCTGGCCCCACGACTTTCTTGTAGCTAAAAAGGCTGCGTGAGAATTCCTGCCGAAGGAGGGAGCCCCAGATGTTCTGAGGGTGCTCAGCTGTAGGACTGGGGGGGCGGGGGTTGAGCATTAAGGGGAGGAGTCCTGCTCACATCCCTGTGAAGGCACCTGGCTCCTCCCTCGGGCTCACCAGCCTAGGTGCCTCTGGCTGGCAGAGCTGGGCTGGGACAGCTCAGGAAGTGCTGTCTCCACCTTGGCCAGGGTGGCCCTGCACGACATGGGGGGTGTGTTTCCGTGGGATCCTTTTTTGCCCTTCCCTAAGTTTGTATCCCTTACAACGTTTATTTTCAAATCAAGAAATTTTACATTGAAGCTGTATTTGAGATCAGAGCTGTTACCTTCTCAGGAACGTGTTTCTGTGTGGCAGGGCCCATCCCCTGCATGGGGTGGCAGGGGTGCTGGCTGCCATTACTGTAGGCAGGGGTCCCCCCCAGAGCGCAGCGGGTAGGCAGGGGCAGGACCAGGGGTGAACACAGTCCCTGAGAAATACCCACGTCCCTGGGCTCCTCGCCAAGCACAGCACAAAAGCAGGAAGGTAGAAATGGGTTGTGGTGGGAGGAAATTTGCCTTTCAAAACTGAGTTCACGTGTCAGCTTTGCTCAGGCCTGTCAGTCACCCCCAAACTCACCAACTCGGCTCATGGCTTTGCCGTGAGAGATTACCAGGCCCAAATCTCAGAGATGGACCCTGAGCTGGGGGTCGCCCCTAGAGACAGAACAAAGTGCATGTCCCCTGAGCGCACGGAGCTCTCTGAAGGTGGGAGGTGTGAGGAAAGCCCATTCACCCTGGATGCCAGGTTGTCCGTGACATCCACCAGGACTCGCCCACGGGATGGAGACCACCGCGTCTACAGCCGCACAGTGGGACCCCTGGAGCAGTGGTGCCCTTCCCAGAGAGGAGGGGGTTTGTCGCTTCCATGGGGTGGGGGTCGGGGAGAGACTCAAGCCCAAATTACCCCGCAGTCTATGCAAGAGCCTTTCTGAGGCATCACTCGCAACCCCCGAGCGAACACCCCAGCAGAGTGGCCAACGGGAAACCGTGTGCGGGAGGAGGCCCTGGGCCTGGTGCCCTGCACGCAGGAAGCAAGACAACAGATGCCTGGCATTCTTTCGTGGTCCAGCTAGCCCCTGCTGCCAGCTGAGATGGAGAAAGCCGTTTGTCGGAAACTCAACCACGCCCAGGAGTAGAGGCTTCTTGGCCAACTGCAGTGGGCTGGACGGCGGCCCTAAAGAGGTCTCCCTGCGACCGGGAACATGCAAGTGTCCCCTTACTTCAGAAAAGGGCTTTTGCACACGTAATCGTGGACCTCAAGAGATCATCCTGGATTTAGGGTGGCTTCTAAATCCAGTAACGGGTGTCCCCATAGGGAGCAGCAGCCGTGGGAAGACAGGCAGGGACCCTAGTTCTGTGTGTGACAAGCCAGGTCACGGCAAGAAGTACAGCAGCCGCTGGAAGCCAGGAGAGAGGCAAGGAACGCGCTCTCCCCTCAGAGCCTCCAGCCCTGCTGACATCGATTTCAGCTTTGGCCTCCAGAACTGTCAGCACAAATTTTTGTTTTAAGCCACCAGGTTTGGGCTAATTTGTCACGGAGCCTCTAGGACACGAATACACCAGTAGGTATCCCCCCCCCCCCCCCCCCCCCCCCCCACGTGAGCCCCCTCAGCTGAGCACAGCACCCCCTGTGCTCTACCAGGGCCGCTCCCACTCGCACCGACCCGCGGGAGCCCCGTGCCCTCCTCGGGGTGATGTACGTTTGCTGAACGAATGAAGACACTACTCTCGTCCTGACTCCAGACTCAGTTCTTCCTAAGATGACGGCCTCACACAACGGAGGCCACATTGTCGGCATGTGGGAAACTCCACAGGTACAACTTTGTGCCACAGTCCCCAGAGCAAGTCTGGTCCCAGGCGGTGCAAACACCGTCAGGAAAGTAGAGCTCCTTTCCCAATGGGCGGGAAGCACATCCCAGGATGGCGGCAGGACACGCAGCCGCCTGCAAGCCTGTCCTCCTCTCCCAGCCCTGGGGACGACCTTTTCAGAGGCCAGTTACCCATCACCGCCACTCAGGACAGGAGCCCATCTCCTAGGCTCACGTCGGGTCGTCCTGTCCCTGATGAGAACAGATCGCCAGAGGCCAAGCAGTGCGGTTCTCTGCCTCCTCCCCAGAGCCGGCCGGTCACGGTTCTCCTCCTGGCAGTCGCCTGTCAGTTCTGTGGGTGTCCTGGAGCCAGCGCAGCACCTCTGATAAGCCAGTGCCCTTCTGGGCGCTGATTTCGGCCGTGGTGATGTTCTGCTTGGCACAGGCAATGATGTCTGGGAGCCTGATCAATGACTTCATCTCGTCTACGGTCATGTAACAGGGCAGATCGCTAGGGCAAAAGAAGCACCCCGTCACGGCGGGCTGCCACAAGTGCATCCCAAACCCCATGGTACCCCCCACCCCCAAGCCACAAGCCACCGTCCTGGCTCCACTCCAAGGGAGCTCCTTCCAGGACTCGCGGCCGTGCTCTCCTCCAGGAAGACAGACCGTACATCTTATTGAAGAGAATCAAGACGGATGCTTCTGCGAGTTGTTCTGCGGAAAGGAGGCCCAGGAGTTGCACACAGGACGCGGACAGCTGAGTGGGGTTAGCGGCGTCCATCATGAACTGGGGAGGAAGAAAACAGATGGGACCACCCCGTGATGGAGACAGTCCTTCCCAAATCCCCTCCCTGGGGCAGCAAGACCTGGCTCAGGAAGAGCAAAAGGACTTTTAAACAAAGGATGTGGGGGGACAGCAGAAGTTAGGGGAAATGACTTTCATGAGAGCGACCTGATGTCACTTGCTTTCACCTACGTGGAAGTCCCTCTACTCACGTGGTCATCAGTTCTCCCGGGAAGGGTCCTGGAATCTGGGGCACAGGCCTTGCCAGGATGGGACAAGCCCAAGAGATGTGGGATTCAAATACAAACATAAAAACACACCCAGAGGATCAAGGCAGAGAGCAAGCACCAGTTACTGGCAGAGAATAAACGCTCCCCTCAGCAAACCTTGCGTGAGCTTTTATGCCCGCTCTGAAGCAGAAGCATTTAGGGATCAAGCTATTCGGAAAAGGAAGCAACTCGAAGTTCGGTCATGTTTCCTTGCCTTCGCGTAATTGCTCAGGAACCCAAACTTCAGCCTACGCAGAGTGAGGTCCAGCACCAGACAACGCTTAAGTGCAAAGGATTACGACCTACCAGGAGAGAGTGGCAATTTCCAAAGTAGCTGGACCAGATGGGGCCCATACACCCCCCCAGCTCCCGGATGGTAATCTTTCTCTGGACGACGATGTCAGTAAGGTTGGTGCCCACCTGTGGAAAAACTCGAGATGCACAAAGGACACAAGCACTTTCCCATTGGGAACTCCTGGCTAGCAGCTCTCTACACTGTGATCCAAACCCCAAAACGCCCCTTGTCAAGGGCTTAGCCCCTAAAACACAGTCCTACGTAAGGAAGATTAAATTGGGTTCCAACGCCCTAACCCTCAGAGCTGACTGTGGCCGCAGCACCCACACCCATCGGGGGATTCGCCCTCCGAGGCGACCAGAAAAGGCAGTCTCAAGAGTGGTGAGGGGTGGGCGGCTCTGGGCCCCCGTCCCGCACCCACCTCCCCTGCAGCTGTGTCCCAGGAGGCAGTCTCCTTCCCAAGACACCCCTCACCTCCTGAGAGTTGGGTTTAACACAGGGACCGGCCGGACTCCAGCATCCGCTTAGAACAGCCCCAAAGCACTTTGCAAACCGCGAAGGGTACCCCCTTCTCGTAGCCCCGCGAGAGGGCGGGTGCCTACCGTGGGGCGCGTCGGGGGAGCATCGCCCAGGTCGCCCTTCCCATCCCCGGAGCTCAGCTGTGCGCGCGGTCAAGGATCCCCAGAGCCAGGCAGGGAAGGCGGGCGACAGCCGGACCCCGCCCGGGGAAACCCCCCCGTCCCGGCGCCCCCAGCCCCGCCCCCCGGGAGCGCCCCGCCCCCCGGGAGCACCCCGCCCCCCACCCCCGGGCCCTCGCCCGACGCGGAAGGATAGTCTGCAGCCTTTTCACCAACAGCGTTTTCCCGACACCCGAGGCTCCCAGGAGAAGACACATCCCGTCCCCGGACTCCACCCGGCATCCGTAGCCCGCGCAAGTCCCGCCCTTCATCCCGCTTTCATTGGATAGGCCTCACGTCCAAGTTCTTCATTGGTTCGCGGCGCTCACGACCTGGTGCAGCCCAATCGGCGCACAGCCTCTGGGGCGAGCCGAAAAGCCCGCCTCCTCGCCGCTCGCGTCCCGGCCGGCGCCGCGCGCGTGCGCGCGCCCGGGGAAAAGGCGGAAGCGGAAGTCGGGGGCGCGCCGGTTCGCAGCGGGGAGCGCAGCGGCGTCGGGTCGGGGTCCTGGGGCGCCATGGGGCGCGGCAGCGGCACCTTCGAGCGTCTCCTAGGTAACGTGGCCCCCGCCCCCCGCGGCTCGGCCCGCGTCCTGGGAGCTGAGCGGGGAGGCGGCCGCCGAGTCCCCGGGGTGGGTGGGCGCGCCCGCGCTTTGGGGACCGGGCAGTCCCGGGTGCTGGGCGCGGGCTCCGACCCGAGTAGGTGAGGGTCCGCGGAGGAGACCGGGCCCGCGACTGCGCCCGGGGCTCTGCTCCTGGACCGGGACCGGGAGCGGGGCGGTCCCGGGGAAACAAGCATCTGACTGAGCGGGCCACAAGTCCTGAGTCACGGAAACGGGTGACCTGGTCACATAGACCCGCTCCCCCAAAAAACCTAGGTTGCATGGGGTCTGAGGGTGCCCCAAACATTGGGCTCCAAACGGTGGAACCAGTAGTGTCTTCACTGGGACCTGCCACGCTCTTATGAGCGCTGCTTCCCTGGGGAACCAGGCCGGCGCTGTCTGTCCCCACTGGGCTCCCGGAAGGCCGCGGTGGTTTAGGAAGGCGGGTTTTCTGTTTGCCGGAGGTGGAGCTGATCCTTTGGGAGCCTCCTGGAGGTCACGAGTTTTAGCAAAGAAAATGAATGTTTAGGGACGTATCCTCTTCTGCCCCCAGTGAGACTGCGTTGCGTGGGCTCTGTTTGGGGCCAGTGCTCCCTGTGCTCCGGTGGTCACTCTGAGCCTGTCACGCTTTCCCCTTGAATACGGTTTTGGAGAAGACCTCAGATGAGGCACCTTCCTTGTTCTGAGCACACGCAGCTGAGCGGTGGCTCAGCCCCCCAGAGATCAACCCCGAAGTTACTGCCAGACCAGTACTGCGAGTGGGTGCACCTTGTTAGATCACCTGTGTGTCCCCGGGAGGAGAGCCAGCAGGGCTGGAGGACAGAGCGTGTGTGTCTGCCTGAGGCAACTGTGATGTGGAGAGTGTGGAGGTGTCATTCGGAGAGTACTTCTTCCGGGTCAGTCCTGTCCTCATCCCACAAAACACTTGGCATCTTCTCCAGCCTCGCCCTTGCTGGGATCTCATCAACTAGGCTAAATTTGGGGAGAACCAGGGACTCTGCGGGATGAGGTGGCCGAGCGTAGTGTTGAACTCTGCCTGGCTCTGCCCCAGCGAGCCGTGTGACCTCACTTCTCGGCTTCCTTGTTTTTGTCGGTAAAGAGGATGGAAACAGGACCTTGCTGGCGAGGCTGTGTGAGAATTCAGCATTTGCATAAAGCCTTTGGAACGGCATTTGGCCCACAAGTGCGTAACCGGTGTTCCGTATCATTATTTTTTAAGCGGTTTGTCCTTTCTCTGAGAAGGACAGCGCTGTCATTATCAGGTGGCAAGAGGATTTTCATGTGCCTTTCCATTCAGTCCAAGTGTTTTAAATGGGAAGGAGACGGTCTTTCCTCCCTGTTGCGGAGCTCTGGGGCCACCTAGGGCATCAGACGAATGCCGAGCCCCGGTAATGATGCGTTTTTGCTTTAGACAAAGCTACCAGCCAGCTTCTGCTGGAGACCGACTGGGAATCCATCCTCCAGATCTGTGACCTCATCCGCCAGGGGGACACACAGTAAGTGAGGCGGGCCCGTGCCGCCCAGAAGCGAGGGGGCGGCACCATGGCGCGCTCGGGGTTGCTTGGTGCCCTCTGATGCGCCAAGATCCGGCAGTGGCCTGCCCTCATGGGAGCAGGTCCCGAGGTGGAGAAGTGAGTGGTCTCCACACTGGGAGTTTTGGGATCTGGGGACAACGAAAGGGTTTTCTCTGTATAGTCTGGAGGCGTGTGATTCCCTTACCGTTTGCTTGGGGGTTTTGAGGACCAGAGGGCGGGTGGGCTCTCTTCACGTTAGCTTCCGAGGTGGTTCAGTTTTCTTTTTCTTTTACCGACGTCCTTTTCTTTCAGAGCAAAATACGCAGTGAGTTCTATCAAGAAGAAAGTCAACGACAAGAATCCCCACGTGGCCTTGTATGCCCTCGAGGTAACTAGCACCCCCCCCCCCCCCCCCCCCCCCCCCCCCCCCCCCCCCCCCCCCCCCCGCCCTGCCCCGCGCTCTGGCCACCTCAGGAGTCCCCACCTCGGTGTCCGTGTCAGGAAGGCAGAGACGAGTTGAGTCTGGGGCCTTGCCCACCTGCCTGGGGAACGAGGGAGATACGAGCGACCTGATAGAGGTCATGCCTCAGCTCTCCCACCTGCAGCCGGCTGACTTAGGGCCCAGAGATGGACTCCAGTTTCTGTCCCTGGTAGTAAAAAATGGAATCAGAAGGGGCACACGTAGCAGCGGTTGCTGCCCGACCCAGAGCTGCCACGTGGATCCCTCGACAGGCTGGCT